CCACCTTCAACCATATCCCTGCCCAACAATTCTTCACACAGAGAATTAGGTTGTTGAACCGACCCGTTAACAGCCTTACCATCGACAGGGAGACCCAGTAACATGTACACATCCTCTAGCGTGACGATACATTCACCTATTGGTAGGTGAAATATATGGGTCTCTAGTCTCCACCTTTCCAACATGGCAAGCATGAACTTTGAATCTATTGTGCAGTTGGAGATCTTTATAACATGTCCTAAACCTGCGTATTCTAGATATGGTACGATAAATGGGTCGGGAGCCAGGTAGTTGTGAGACCGGATTTTGAATCTTTTTGTATCCTGAGTTAATAATGTAAAAGTGTAAGATTAAGTAAGATGAACAAAGCATTACCAGAAGTATAAAAAATGTATAACTATAAAAGAAACTTACAAATGCTGCAATGTTGTCCCTTGTGCCTCTGTGAGAATCCCCGATTGTGAGAAGAGCCATTGTTGAAAATGCCCGAGATTATGAAAGACTTAGAAATTGTAAGAGATTGTGAAAGACTTGGTAGCAGAGAGTGAGACGGTTGTGGGTGCGAGAGAAGTATGTTATGCTCTGTATTTATATGCAAAAAAATTTCATAGAGTAAGTTAGGTGGTAGCTGGTCCATGCATGCATGATAAGTGTCACTCTTGCAGTGAAGGCGCAGGCTAAGTGGCAGCCTTGGAGAAGGTATCTCTGCATGCATGTAACACGATTGGATATTAAGGGAGGCGACATTGGACTTGGCGAAAGAGTACAAAAATGAAAGGTGTCGCCATCCCTATTGGCGAATAAGAGGTGGCACGGGTTGCAGAGTTGGCCTAGGCTAGGTGACAGCCTTGGAAAAGCCATGCCTGAATGCATGTAACAATATTGTAGGTGATGGGAGGAGACTTACATGTTACAGTGTAGGTGCAGAGTAGGCGCAGGCTAGGTGGCAGCCTTGGAGAAGGCATCTCTGCATGCATGTAACACGATTGGACATTAAGGGAGGTGCCATTGGACTTGGCGAAAGAGTATAAAAATGAAAGGTGTCGCCATCCCCATTGGCGAATATGAGGTGGCACGGGATGCATAGTAGGCCCAGGCTAGGTGACAACCTTGGAAAAGCCATGCCTGAATGCATGTAACACTATTGGAGGTGATGGGAGGAGACTTACATATTACAGTGTAGGTGCAGAGTAGACGCATGCTAGGTGGCGGCCTTGGAGAAGGCATCTCTGCATGCATGTAACACGATTGGACATTAAGGGAGGCGCCATTGGACTTGGCGAAAGAGTACAAAAATGAAAGGTGTCGCCATCCCCATTGGCGAATATGAGGTGGCACGGGTTACAGAGTAGGCCCAGGCTAGGTGACAGCCTTGGAGAAGCCATGCCTGAATGCATGTAACACTATTGGAGGTGATGGAAGGAGACTTACATGTTACAGTGTAGGTGCAGAATAGGCGCAGGCTAGGTGGCAGCCTTGGAGGTTACATCCTTACTTAATTCAAATTCAATATGACCTATTTAGTCTTACATTTATCAAAACACTGATTCACTTAATCTGTCAAACCTTCCAACCTTCAAACCTTCATACAATCAAACCTTCAAACCTTCATACAATCAAACCTTTAAACCTTCAAACAATCAAACATACAAACCTTCGAATAACTCATAAACTTCAAACCTTCCAACCTTCAAACCTTCAAACCTTCAAACAACCATACGCAATGGCCTCTGCACCCCAATATGTCATCAATGCACATTTCAACGGTGAGACATACATTTGTCCTACCTCTGGGTTTTTGTTTAGAGACACAGACAACATCCGATTTCTTTTAAACGGGAAAGCCAATTTCTCGTACTTCAAAAAACGATTGGAGGCCAAACTTGGACGAGGCCCGGTGACACAAATATTTTATCAGAATCCAGTTTTCTTTGGTAACAACCAAATTATATTTTACAAGGTTGAGGTTCAAGATGACGAGGATCTTCATAATATGTTTTCTAGTCATGTGTATTCTGGGTACGACTCTATTGAGTTATACATTATGCTGCGAGAGCCTCAGATGACACAAGTGGTTGATCTTTTGGAGACCGAACAAACAGAGGTAGATGCAGTTGATGATGAAGAAGAAGATGACGAGTCAGAGTTTGATGAAATGGTGAATGATGATTCTGAAGACGATGGGATACCTGGTATTCCTGCAAATGAGATCTACACACCACCTCCGCACATGACAAACTTCAACATGGGCGGAGATGAACCGTCTTCTGATTTATTTTTCAATCCGTATATGCAGTCGGAGGAAAACTTAAAAGAGAATGACAAGTTTCGTAACAGAGAGGAATGCATCAGAGCCATAAAAAAATTCCACATGCTCAACTCGGTCGATTTTAAGGTGGACCGTGTCAACCCAGAAAGATACAAGATCAAGTGTGTCCACCCTGATTGTATGTTCAAGCTCACTGCATCGTACAGATTAAGAGGTGATTGTTGGGTCATAGGTTCCATGTCTACCCACACTTGTGTCAGTTCTATCCAATCACAGGACCATCGAAAACTTAATTACGATCTCATTTGTCAAGAAATCCTACCACTCGTCAGCAATGACCCATCTTTGAAGGTGAAAACCATCATCTCCCACATCACTACGGTTTTTAACTATACTCCGTCTTACCGTAAGGCGTGGTTAGCAAAGACCAAGGCGATTGAAAAGGTGTACGGAAACTGGGACGAGTCATACCAAGAACTTCCTCGCTACCTGAATGAACTCAAGACTTATTCTCCAAATACTGTTTACATTCTGGAAACAGTGTCAGCATACGCCCAAGATGGTAGTCAACTAAACGGAAACAGAATATTCAGTCAAGTGTTTTGGGCATTTCAACCTTGCATCACAGGGTTTGCATCATGCAAACCAATTATACAAATTGATGGGACTTGGTTGTATGGTAAATACAAAGGCACACTACTGATGGCAGTTGCACAAGATGGAAACAACAACATTTTCCCAATTGCCTTTGCCGTAGTCGAGGGGGAGACCAGTGGTGCTTGGAGCTTTTTTCTGAAAAAACCTGCGAATACACGTGGCTCCTCAACCAGATCTCTATTTGATCTCAGACAGACATGCCTCCATTGAAAGTGCCTACAATAATCCTGCAAACGGTTGGCATGAACCTCCTTCTACGCATGTCTATTGCGTTAGACATATCGTCCAAAATTTCACGAGGGAGATCAAGGACAAAACACTAAGGAAAGCAGTTATGAATGCGGGATATGCATTGACACAACCCACGTTCAAATATTACCGCAATGAGATCCGTTTATCAAATCCGGAAGCCGGTAGGTGGATCGACAATATTCTGGTGGAAAAATGGACTAGGTCATACGACAATGGCCAAAGATGGGGGCACATGACAACAAATTTAATTGAATCAATGAATGGGGTATTCAAAGGCATACGAAACTTTCCGATCACTGCTTTGGTAAAATCTACATATTTTAGGATGGCTTCGTTGTTTGCCAAAAGAGGTGAAATATGGAATGTGGTGTTGCAATCTGGACAACTATGGAGTGAAAGTTGCATGAAGTACATTAAGGCAGAAAGCGCCAAAGCCAACACTCATATGGTTATACGGTTTGACCGACACAGCCATAACTTCATTGTGAAAGAGACAATCGACCATAATGAAGGCCTACCAAGACAAGAATATAGGGTTGTACTACCTTCTCGTTGGTGCGATTGTGGCAAGTTTCAAGCCTTTCGTATGCCTTGCTCTCATGTCATTGCCGCTTGTGCTTATACCCATCAAGACGCGCTACAACTTCTGTCACATATTTACAAATCTGAAACGTTGCTCAACGTTTACAACAACAGCTTTCCTTTGGTAGCAAAACCAGATTATTGGCCTGCATACGACGGTAAAATAGTGTGGCACAATGACCAAATGCGAAGGAACAAGAAGGGTCGTCCCAAAAGTAAGCGCGTCACAACCGAAATGGACGACCTTGACAAGCTGGAAAGAAAGTGTAGTTTATGCCATCAGGTCGAACACAACCGCAAAAATTGTCTGAATCGGACGTCTGCCTCGACCACATAAAAATTGTAATACATAAAATCTTTCCTTAATTATGTTGTAAACATTAGGGTTTTTCGTTAACAGTATTTGCTACAATAAATATTGCGCGTACAAGAAAAAAACACGATATTCTGTCTACGAAATTACAACTGTTAAAACAATTTCATCTGACGCATGCATCATCAACATTACGTTGCTGTCTGTTTTGACTTCCTCCAACCATACATTAGGTCTTCCAGTCACATGTGAGGTTGTTGTTCGTCTTCGTTGGATCCTTCGAATTTTTGCCCCCTCCACAATGTCTCCATCTAGCCATCACATCAACTCCCGCTTCAGACGCTCCATGGAGTGAATGTGCCAGAATTTCATTTTCATCGCAGGTTTCGTGACGGAGAAGATAACGTAACCATCTCTGGTAAAAATCATGGGCGATGTCATGACGTAAATAACAGAGTAAAAAAATAAGAAAACAGTGCGAGAAAGTGTGAGAAATGACGGAGAAGCAGACGAATTATTTATAAAAACAACATTTTGCCCTAGGAGTCAAGTGAGATGGCGCATTCTCTCACTTTTAAAGTGCATGCGCCATCTCACTTGGCTAAAAGTGAGAGGAGGCGCCAAGTGAGATGGCGCCTAGGCCAAAAATGTTGGTGGATGCGCCAAGTGAGATGGCTCCTCCTTTGAGGAGTCATCTGAAACATGGTTACTTACGTAATTTTTTTCGAAACGTGATTATTTGCGAAATTTTTTTTTGATACCTGATTATTGCAAAAAAAAATTCCATTTTCTCACAATTATATTTTAGTACAATATTTTTATAATTGCATAGCACAATTTATCTATTAAAAAATATAAAACCATTAAAAAAATAGTTGGAACTAGATATACATTGATGAGATCATCACTCCTTGCTTTCTACAAACAATGTTGAACTTCAACTATCCACTTCTCCAACTTCTCATTCTTATTCTAACCTTTTCATTTCCAGTGACCCTCTCCAACCATGAAGCCATACAATCATTACTTCACCGCTTGGATTCCAAAAGGGCACTTCCATCCGTGCAAGAAACCGCAGCTAGAGGTGTTCTCAGAAGACTTCTTCCCACCCATTTGTCCAGTTTTGAGTTCAAGATAGTTTCAAAGGTTGTTTCTTGACCCTTTTCGTTTTTGAATTGATTGTTTTGGACAATGAATTTGATTTTGTGTTTGACTTTGGTTTTTGAATTGATTCTAAGTTTTTGGTTTTTTTTTTTTAATTTAAATTTTGCTGAATTATACTTTTATAATGCTCTGATACAAACTAAGATGAGAAAAAATCGTTTTTTTTTTCTTTGTCAGTTCTGTGTTAGATGTTGACTTTGCCTAATCAAGATTAACAACTTGATAAGTGCTTATGGAATAAGTGCTTATGGAATAAGCGTTTATCATATTAGTACTTATCTATAAGCTATAAATAAGTTTTTTTTTTTCATAATCTATTATGTAGAGTGTACTTGCTAAAAAAGTACAATGATGAACAACCTCTTGTTATGTAGGGATGTTTGGAGGTTTTACGGTATTTTGGTGATACGTAGGGCTAGCTCGCACAAAGTGGTGAAAAGCTCTATGTGGGGTAGTTGGAAATGAGTTGAAATTTGAAAATAGCTTATGAACGATGTTAGAAGTTGTTTTCATAAGCTCTCCGAAAGAGTCTAGTCTCACTAGTGCTTATGACAATATTTAAGGTCAAATAAACCAATCCGATCAGGTACTTATAATATGGAGTAGGGGAAAATCCTCAGTTACTTCTTTACATGATACTTTGTATTAGTTTTTGACTTGGTTGCATAATATAATATATTTAATTAGCGTGTTGATCTTGTGATAGTCACTTTGCATGCTACTTTTGGTAGGAGCAGTAATGACTATGCTGTCATGTTGTCTTGGCAAAGTAATCAGTGTTAATGTGTTTTGTTATTTCTGTTTTTAGAGTTAAATACATTTTTGGCAATGTAAAATTGGAAAATTTTGATTTTGTAGCTGCAAGAAATTTATCTGTTTTAAGTCCTTAAAACTAACAAAAATTGTGCTTTTAGTCCTAATACTATGTTTACTAATTGTAGGACTAGAAGTGAATAGAAGTTTTATATGACCAAAATCAAAATTTGCCAATTTTATAGGGATAACAAATGTTTAACCCTTATTTTTTATCTATTCAGAGATTGCTGATTTTCTTTCACTTAACTGTACTGTTATTTTATCATGAGAAAGAAATTACCTTTTACAGCTGTTCTTATTTTTCATGATTGAATGTAAAAGTACGATTTCTGTATTTTCAGGATGTCTGTGGTGGAAACAGTTGTTTTATGATAAACAATCACAAAAAGACAAGGCATAATGGGCCTGAGATTATGTATGTCAAGTGAATTTTATAATGCAGACTGGTTCATATTTGTTATTCCTTCTCGGTTCTTGTTTTTCTTTAAATTTAAGTTTCTTGATGCAATGGTTTATTTTCAGTCCTAAGTTATTGTTCATAGATATAATCATTTGATCATTTTATCTTCCTTCTTTAATATGAATTGACATTGTATTGTTTATATATTTCTCAGTATTAAAGGAACCACAGGTGTTGAGATTGTGTCTGGCCTCCATTGGTATCTTAAGTATTCGTGCGGCGCTCACATTTCATGGGATAAAACAGGTGGCGTTCAGACAAGTTCGATCCCCAAGCCGGGGTCACTACCCCTTTTTAAAGATGACGGCGTGAAGATTAAACGCCCTGTTCCATGGAACTATTATCAAAACGTCGTGACTTCAAGTTGTGAGTATCAAAATCAGCTTTCCACGGAAAAAAAACATCTCACAATTTTTCTGTAGTGCACAACTGTTTTCATACAAACTATAATCTGTTTTCATAAGCTATCATGGAGAGCTTATGGAAATAAGCTGAAAACAACTTATAAACATGTCATAAGCTGTTTCTATAAGCTTTCCCAAAAAGTCTCACAAGTGCTTGTGCAAGTAGATAAGTTCAAATATGAGGCAAAACTCATATTTAGGACACAACCTATTATTTCATCTGTGAGAGGTGTTATGTAATATCACATTCTTCTTTGTTCTTTGCAGATTCGTTTGTTTGGTGGGATTGGGAAAGGTGGGAAAAAGAGGTAGACTGGATGGCACTTCAAGGGGTGAACCTGCCCTTGGCATTCACCGGGCAGGAAGCTATCTGGCAAGAGGTTTTTAAGGTAAGTGCTAGTTAGATGTTTGCAAATGGATGAATAGTTTCACATTTTCATTGAAGTTTCTTTCATGATTCAGTTAAGAGATATGTTTGTACAGAATATAGTAGAAATTTTTGTCTTCCGTCTTCACTTCCTCTCTGCAGAATAAAAAAAAGAAATTGAGAGTACTGAATAAATTTAGTCAGGTCTGCAATATTTTGATGGATTGCCAGGAGTTTCGGGGACACTGTTGTAATTTATTCTCTTAAAAATCTATATAATAAAATTTTCTCTTGCTATAGCTATTTAACAAGTATCTTTTAACTATAGGATTTTAACATTAGTTCAGAAGATTTGAACAGTTTCTTTGGTGGACCTGCTTTCCTTGCTTGGGCGCGCATGGGAAATTTACATGGGTAGGTAAACGTAGTAATTTAAACCATGTTGTCGATTTCCATTCTGAATTAAGCAATCTTGTGTTTTGTGTTCATTATTCATTCATTTTTCATATTGAACTGCATTTTATGAAATGACAAAAGATTATGAGAATTATTGTGCTTAGAGATAAAAGAAGAAGAATAAAGAGTTAAGATTGTTTGAGGTTACTTTAATTGTACCTGTTTTATTGTGTGGACTTTTAGTTCCATTCCAGCATTGAATTTTAGTTACAAATTGTATGATGTAAGAGGACGATTCTAAGTGATGGTTGAAATCAGAGACTTCACAACATCTGGTACAAAGGTTTTTGTCGTATGGAGAGAGAATTATATTCAAAAGGAGCTTTATCTAGGTTAAGTTTCAGAGAGGGTCTGAGGTTTCACCTGGAAAATTTCAGCTGGTAGTCTTTTGCTAAATGTCCTTCCTAATCTCTCTATTAAAAGGCTTATTAAACAAAAATGAATAAGAAAACTACAAATAATTATTAAACAATCTGATACATAAACTTTAGAGATTGGGATCAGAATCCAACAAGTAAAAATACTTTCCTTTATCCATCTTTTTATAATATAGCAGGTGTCATGGATAATATGCAATTTTTTTTTTTTTTTAAATTTTGCATTCTATGGTTGTTTTGAATAAAAGGTAGCTGTTATCTTTTCAGGTGCTTTGGTTTCTAATGAGATCTATCTTTTCACAGATGGGGTGGGCCTTTATCTCAAAACTGGTTAGATCAACAATTGGTCCTACAGAAACAGATAATCTCTCGAATGCTGGAGCTAGGGATGACTCCAGGTATTGTATACTCCTACCCGAGACATGCAAATTTTTTTATGATACAGTCTTCTGAATTTAACGCTCTGATTTATCATGAATTTTTTATATTCTAGTGTTACCATCCTTCTCTGGAAATGTTCCGGCTGCTTTGACAAAGATATTTCCTTCGGCAAAAATAACCAGACTTGGTGACTGGTATTTCACTTCTCTTTTGTAAGATTGTTCATTTCTCAGGTAACTCATGTTTCGGTGTTAGTTTCTTTTGTATCCGTTGCATGAGTTTGTATTCCTAGCACTGAAACATATCTATACTGCTATTTTCAGTAATTGGCATGTTTTGGATTTATTGCTCACGTTCCAGCTTATACTTTCTTTTCTTTTTCTTTTCCAGTTTTAAAGGTCTATCGTTCCATGTACTTATCAATAAAGTTGTTTCGTTAATGTTGCTGCCAGGAACACCGTTGATGCTGATCCCCGCTGGTGCTGCACGTACCTTCTTGATCCCTCCGATCCTCTATTTGTTGAAATTGGGGAGGCTTTTATCCGCAAACAAATTAAAGGTGTGCCTAGTTTCACTCTTTTTCCTTTCTTTCTTGTAGACATCTTTTTCTTTGATTGTTAGGTCTCCAATTTGTGTTACCATTGAATGAAAAAGATGTGGGGAAGAAAGGGTTATTAATGGACAATGTCAAACTTTAAGGGGATAATAGGATCAGAATAATAAATGGAAACATGACCAGCTTTTGTTAGACAGTATAATGCATGTTTAGTTGGTTACTCTTACAATTTTGGTCTAACTCAACCCTATAAAATTGACTCGTAAGATGAGAGATGCCTCCCATTTATAAACTCACTTTTCAGGCGATATCTCACCTAGGTTGAGACTTTTTACACACCCTCTTCGCGCCCGGGACCGTATATCTCAAGTGTGGCCTGATAGCAGGTGACCAAATGGATTTTGGATTATCTCGGATACCATCTTAGAAATTTTGACTGGACCTAATTTTGAACCCTACAAAACTGACTTGTAATGTGAGAAACCCCTCCCACTTATAGATTTATTTTTAGGCGATATTTCATCCAACGTGGAAATCTTAATATCTACGTATAGAATCTACAAATAGTATGAGTATTTTGGTATAGCGGTTTGAATAGAGGTAGCAAGGTAAAAGGGACAAATGTTTGTGAAGGGGAAATCAACCATGTGAAAAGGCAAAATCTCGCTTAAGATCTTTTATTGTAATGCAGTATGCACTTTCGTTTGTTTTTCGCAAATCACTGAAAACTCAATCATTATGTGTTCCTAATATGATACAACTTCTTAATTTTGACATATTTTCTTAAATTTTACAGAATATGGGGATGTAACAGACATATACAACTGGTAGATTTACTTGTCCTCAATACTTAATATTTTTATATTTTTGGACGATTTGGTTGCAAGTTGATTTTCTACCATATCTATTTGTCATTTTTCTTTTCATTGGCATTTCATCTTATATGATGTACAAGTTCATAAATTATCGCTTGTTTATGAACTTTATTGGCCTCAACCACACTCGTACAAAATTTTTCACTGAACTGGAGTGAGTTTCTATTCTTGATTACTCTTGATTGCTAACAATACATATGATATTGTTTACTGCAGTGACACCTTTAACGAAAACTCCCCACCTACTAGTGATCCAGACTATATAGCAACTCTTGGTGCTGCAGTATATCAAGGCATTTCCAAGGGTGACAAAGATGCCGTGTGGTTAATGCAAGTATGCTTCAATCGATTCTCGATCTTTCCATTTCCTGTTTTAATTCCTTACAATTACATATCATTTATCCTAACAACGTAACTCTGTTTATAAACATTTCAATTTTGGAAGCAACTATTGTTCAATAAAGTCAGATGTTTGTTTTACTCTTAATCTTTTTACTTCTGCCGTGGGTGTTTTTCTTATTGGTTTGTGTTATCGAAGAGTTACCGTTATCCTCTTTCCCATTTCTATTCATGAATATTTTGTTCCATTTGTACAGTGATGTTTAGCTGACGAATATATATGAATTTGCAGGGCTGGCTCTTCTACTCTGATTCATCATTCTGGAAGCCACCTCAAATGAAAGTATGAAATTCACTTTACAAGATATCTTCTGTCTTCTTCAATATTTGTATGCGCCGTATGTGTTTCTTTTCTTAGTTTTTGTTTGTCGTCTCATGCCTATACAACATAACATTTTCCCACCAGGTTGGATCAACTACTTGGATCAAACGACTCCATGATATTATGTTATGAACTATGCCTATAGATAATCCATTTAACTGTATATCTTTTTTGATGGTTTGATCAAAGGTATCTAAATTGCAAGTTAATTCGCACTGTTGGAGTCGATCTTACGAGATTACATGCCTCTGTTTTCCATCTTCTATATTTGCTGTATTTGTTTCTACTTCAATTTTAGTTGTAATATAATGAATGTTATTTTTCTATTTTTATTATTATTGTATTTGTATTTTTGGTAAGATCTTACTATGTATGATACTATTTGCAGGCACTTTTACAATCTGTTCCAGTTGGGAAAATGATCGTTCTTGATCTATTTGCTGAAGTAAAACCAATATGGAAAACTTCCTTTCAGTTTTATGGTACTCCTTATATATGGTAATTTACTTTTTGATAGCTCATGTTACTTGAAGAATGAAAAGATATATGATGTTCTAAACAACAATTATGCTTTCTCGATCTTTGCTCTAGGTGCATGCTACACAATTTTGGTGGCAATCTTGAAATGTACGGTGTTTTGGATGCAATTGGTTCAGGGCCTGTTGATGCTCGTGTCAGTGCAAACTCGACAATGGTACAACTATTGTTTACATCAACAATTATTTACAAGTTCCTGTATGTTAGAAACTTGAAAGATTTTAGCAATGCTGTTAAAGCCTATGTTTCAATGCACAGATTATATGATTAATGCATATCGATTCTTCATTTTGTTGGCTAATACTTTTTCAGAATTACGATTGGAAATTTTTTAGCTGTTACGTTTCCTGATTTATAACAGCTAAATTCTGATTTTTAAACTTGTCTTACTAATGTTTTATGCAGGTAGGTGTTGGTATGTGCATGGAAGGGATAGAGCACAATCCGATTGTTTTCGAGCTAATGTCTGAAATGGCATTTCGTGATGAGAAAGTTAAAATTAATGTAATGTTGTTATATGATATTATGCTCTCTACAGATACATACGTTGAAATTTGTATTTACTAGTTCTCATTAGCTGCTGCATCTTAATTTTCGTGCGAGTGTCTCTTTCTAGTTTTGAGTACGATCCGTGAAAACTATGTGTCCGACAACGAATCACATCAAGCTTATAAGGTCTTTTCTTAAGTGAAGTATCATAAATTAATTTTTCTTGCAGGAATGGATCAAGAGTTACTCCCATAGACGATATGGTAAAGCAATTCATCAAGTTGATGCTGCATGGGAGATCCTTTATCATACAATATACAACTGTACTGACGGAATTGCTGTATGTGATTTATGCGCTGATTTGTGTTTAAGATTACTTCATCATCTGACTTGGATACTGATTGCGGCTAACTCATAAATTTGCGGCAGGATCATAACCATGATTATATTGCGATGCTTCCTGACTGGGATCCATCCACAAACGATAAATCTGGTATGTTAAACCACCAAAAGAAAATTTACTTCTTGCCTCCGGGAAATAGAAGATACTTATTCCAGCAAACACCAGCCGGTATGCCACAGGCTCATTTGTGGTATCCTCCCGAAGACGTAATCAAAGCATTACAACTATTCCTAGCCGGTGGAAAGAATCTCACGGGAAGTCTCACATATAGGTAATCTATTCAGCTTAGTATATGCTACTCGCTCCGTCTCATAATAACTGACCTATTTGCAAAAACGAGTATATCACTTTTGCATGAAGCTGCAGAAAGGGTGCAGGCACAACAGGAATGTATGATAATAATCTAACTGTTATCTTTTTAACAGGTACGACCTCATTGATTTGACACGACAAGTATTATCGAAATTTGCAAACCAAGTATACATCAAGGCAATTGCATCGTTTCAGACAGAGAATATTGATGCCTTGCATTTGAACAGCCATAAGTTTCTCCAACTGATTAAAGATATTGATTTATTGCTTGCTTCTGATGATAACTTCCTTCTTGGAACTTGGCTCGAGAGTGCCAAAAAACTCGCAGTAAATCCAAGTGAGTTGAAGCAGGTGAGGACATATTGTTTTCGCAAATACTTGAAACTGATGCGATTTTCATCCTAGTAGCTCTCATCTTGTTATTGTTTAGACAATGTTCGAGTAAATAAATTGTATGGTTTACCTTTTCTCTTCAGTACGAATGGAATGCTAGGACACAAGTAACCATGTGGTTTGACACAAATGAAACTACTCAGAGCAAGCTCCACGATTACGGTAAAACACATCATGAAACCTTGTTATGCTTATTTCATTCTTAATTTTAGTTTTGATGATTTTGTTTTCGCGTGGTTTCTGATTAGCTAACAAATTTTGGAGCGGGATTCTGGAAAACTACTATCTCCCACGTGCTTCAACCTATTTTAGTCATTTATCAGAAAGCTTGAAACACAATGAGAAGTTCAACTTGATCGAGTGGCGAAAACAATGGATTCCAATGTCAAACAAATGGCAAGAAGGTAATGAGCTATATCCAGTTAAGGCCAAAGGAGATGCTCTAACAATTTCACAAGCTCTTTATGAAAAGTACTTTTCATAAAAATCACAAAGAAGATGCACAAGTAATAACAAGTCCATCATTTCAAATATTATAATCTTAAGCACTAGTTGTTGAGTTCATGTAATATTTACAATAATGCTGACATTATCTCAGTTATTGGAATTTCAGTGATATTTGTTTCGATTTCAACTAAACTATGCACTTTCAATTCTTGAAATTGAAAAATATTAGATGGTTGTGACAACTAAGACGGTATAAAAATACATTACTTATAACTATTGATGTGACCAAAATAGAAAATAAAATAATAAAAATACAATATTGCGCACAAAACTGTATAGAAATACGGTGTCGAACTAAATTTGAAGTGCATTAAAGTACGAATATAACTAATCAAAAGATACATTGAATATGTAGAAAAAGTAACGTATTTGCACATGTTTGAAAAATGAAAATATCTAAGAAACCAAAAGCAAGTAAATAACATAGACACTTTCTTGCCACTACCTCACAAGACAAAAATGATTTGTCTCCATTAGTCACAATTTGTGTGGATAGTATCATATTAGATATTGTATTACCATATTTCAATGATCCTTTACTAAAAAAAGAAGCATAGTAACACAAATTCAATGGCTCTTTCTTGTTACACCTTCATCCCTCCTTCTTTACCCTCTCTTTGTCTACACAATCATCGTTCATCACATCTTCCTCTTAGAGTTTCTCATATAAATGCTTCCTTAAACTCTTCTGATTCAAAAGCACCATCATCAACATCATCACAACAAAGTGTGCCATCTTCAACCCCTTATGTTGAATCTAGGCCACATGAGCCTGCTTTTAACTATGCCTTTGCCAACACTAATGGCAACCCACTTCTTAGGATGGTTCAAAATACAGAGTCTTCCATTGAAAGGGTATTTTGGTCATTTCATTTGTAATTGTTCTTGTTTTGATCTAGTTCCATTGATTTTTGTATCATGAACTATATTCATATGGTCTACATATTATAGAACTAGAATCAACATGTCATAGGGACTAGTTAAAAAGAATGAGGACCAATAGTAAGCATTCATATGCTTTAGGGACCAAAACCAAATAAAACTTTTTGCAGGCACTAAAGGCAAAGACTTGTGTATTTGCCTAAGGGAAAAGGATATTTGAAACATATATTTATATTGGCATGTAAGTTAATGTTTACTTTAGTTTATTCATGGTGAAGAATAATAGAGGAAAAAGATATTTAAAATACATATTTAAATCACATTGTAATTGGGGTTTGATGCGGTTGCCAAGACTACCACATCAGCAATATTGCGGTTGCGGGCGCATGCCTCTGTGATTGTCATGATATTCAAATTTAAACTAGACTTAGGCTGATGTCAATTGAGATGACAATGATCAAAGTATTTTGCAATATGAAAAACTGTCATGTGTTTATATTATGAAATGAAATCAAAATTTTCTTTTTCAGTATTCTGAAAAAAGTGATATATTACTAGTATGGAGTATTACCTTTTCTGATTGAGATCTTCTTGGTTTTGTGTTGATCAGGTGATTTTCGACTTCCGTTTCTTGGCACTCTTTGCTGTTGCAGGTTCCTTGGCTGGCTCACTCCTTTGCTTTCTAAATGTACAGTTTCTCAACACCTTTAGTAAATGAGAAACAAGATGCTATAAATTTGTCCATAAAAAATATCAGGGTCTTGTTCAGATTAGCTCATTGTCTACTTGCATAAGTACTTGTGAGACTGTTCTAAACAGGTTATGGAAACAGCGAATGACACGTCTATAAGCTGTTTTCATCTTATTTCGATAAACTCTTCAAGATAGCTTATGACAACAACTTATAGCTTATATGAAAAAAATTTGGTTTTATTTTAGTTTTCATGTGATGATGTCTGGTAAAATTTAACACGAATTAAGTTTCATATATTTGACTGTGTATATAATCTTGGATGATTTCAGGGTTGTGTTTATATTGTTGGTGCATACAAAGTGTATTGGTCAAGCTGTGTCAAAGGAGTTCACACCGGAAAGATGGTTCTGCTTCTGGTTGAAGCAATTGGTAATTTATGAATTTTTTTCTCTTCAATATTAGCCTTTACTTCAATTTTTGTCGGAATTTCTTATAAGACTTAGTTTACTACTTTCATTAGTCTTTTTTTCCTGCTAATAAAATGCATGAATCTTGGTGGTGCTGCAGATGTTTATCTTGCTGGTACTGTTATGTTGATTTTCGGTATGGGCTTATATGGATTGTTCATCAGCAACACACCTCCTGATGTGTCACCTTCTGTCGACCGTGCCCTTAAAGGATCCTCTCTCTTTGGAATGTTTGCTTTGAAGGTATTCATAAATCCTACAATCTTGTAGCCGAGGATGGTTGCGATTATCTTAACTGTTGAATCATCTTAACAAACATGTATATATTGTCACCTTTTCAGGAGAGGCCGAAGTGGATGAAAATAAGTTCACTTGATGAATTAAAAACAAAAGTGGGGCATGTAATTGTAATGATTCTTCTTGTAAAAATGTTTGAGAGGAGCAAAATGGTTGTAATTGCCACAGGATTAGACTTACTTAGTTACTCAGTATGTATTTTCTTGTCATCAGCATCTTTGTATATTCTTCATAATCTACATAAGCAAGATTAGAATGTAGTATGCACTGTAATATTCTGAATTCATATATATATATGTAAATGGAGAATCATATGGTTCAAAATTGTTATGGTTGAAAACTTCTGATCACATCAGCTGTGACCTGACATATAATGTTTGAACATCTCTACATTATATGCATTCAGTACCTCATTGTATGCTATATAAAATTTTCAAATAAAGAATTTTTGTAAAATTTATAAGGCTGAGATATAGAATTTTCAAATATTAAAAGTCTTGCCTCCACAACATATACTTTCATGGTTGTAAGTGAACACTTGTATTGTCTAAAATATCACCGATTAAATCTTCTGTTTAATATGCAACATTTAGAAGAAATGAATCTTGTTAACCAAATGCGGTTGCCGCATATGGTTGAACCTTCCTTTCACACCAGTTATGACATGAATTTAACTCCGATTTAGTCGAAATAACATGCAAGCATTAATTAATATCTGAATCATGCAAGCTTTCAAGATGCCACAATTAAGGTTATGATGCAATATTGCAAGAAATAACATAACTAACAAAGAATACCCAACAGTAGCTTGGTACACCATATTTTACTGTGTGGTTGTGTCATGTCTTTGTTATGGGCCCAGGCGCTAAGTGAGGTCGAACAATTTCAGTTGATATGGGTCCATAAGCCATCAATGTGCTTTGCTTGGCAACAAACAAGTATTATTACTAATACTATTCATTCACATGTGAGTCTTCTTGTGTCTGTCAACCTTTTACAGCCAACCATTCATTCAAAAAAACACTACTCTTATCCATTCATACACATGCCATTGAGTCTTTTCTCCTTACTTTCAATTATTGCTATCTCTCAATCTTGATAGCTCTTAATCTCTTTCAAAATTCAGCCATTAGTTCCAAATATTCCTTACTTGCTGATTTGCTTAACAAAATCAAAACAAGATGGCTGCAGCTGCAACTGTGATAGGAGATGCTTTTCTCTCTGCAACTGTTCAAACCTTAGTTGAGAAACTTGCTTCAACCGAGTTTCTTGATTACATCAGAAACACCAAGCTCAATGTGACACTCTTGAGAAAGTTCCAAACAATCCTGCTCACTCTTCAGGCTGTGCTGGATGATGCAGAAGAGAAGCAGATCAGCACTCCTGCTGTCAAAAATTGGCTAGATGACCTGAAACATGTTGTCTTAGATGCTGAGGATTTGATCAATCAAATAAGTTATGATTCCCTTCGGTGCAAGATGGAGAATAGACAAGTTGGAAACAGAACTAATAAGGTGTGGAACTTTCTTTCATCTCCTTTCAAAAACTTCTATAGAGATATCAATTCCCAATTCAAGGTAATGTGTGAAACTCTTGAACCTTTTGCACAACATAAAGATACCCTTGGATTGCAAACAAAAAGTGCTAGAGTTTCTCGAAGACCACCTTCAAGTTCAGGGGTTAATGAATCTGTCATGGTTGGTAGGAATGATGATAAAGACACAATCATCAAGATGCTCGTATCAGACTGTGACGCCAGCAAAAATAATAACTTGGGTGTTGTTGCAATTTTGGGTATGGGAGGTATCGGAAAAACCACCCTTGCACAACTTGTTTACAATGATGAAAAAATTGAAAAACATTTTGATTTCAAAGTCTGGGTTTGTGTATCAGAGGACTTCGATGTTGTGAGAGTAACCAAGTCTCTCCTTGAATCTGTTGTTAGAAATACAACATCTGCTGCTTCAAAGGTATGGGAAAGCGATAATCTTGATATTCTTCGAGTTGAATTAAAGAAAAATTCGAGGGAGAAAAGATTTTTGTTTGTGTTGGACGACTTGTGGAATGACAATTACAATGATTGGGATGAGCTAGTAAGTCCCCTCATTGATGGAAAACCCGGAAGTTCAGTGATTATAACAACTCGCCAACAAAAAGTTGCAGAGATGGCGAAGACATTTCCTATTTATAAATTAGACCCTCTATCAGATGAAGATTGTTGGTCTATACTCTCAAAACATGCATTGGGAAGTGATGAATGTGATGCCAGTAAAAACACAGCCCTTGAAGAGATAGGTAGGAAGATTGCAAGAAAGTGTGGAGGATTGCCAATAGCTGCTAAAACACTAGGAGGACTTCTACGTTCAAGGGTAGACACAATGGCGTGGACTGATATTTTGAACAGCAATGTATGGAACTTGCCAAATGATAATATTATGCCGGCTTTACATTTGAGTTACCAATATCTTCCATCTCATTTGAAAAGATGTTTTGCATATTGTTCAATTTTTCCAAAGGACTATCCACTTGATAGGAAGACATTGATTTTGTTGTGGATGGCAGAGGGCTTCCTTGACTATTCTCACGGGGGAAAATTGGTAGAGGAAGTAGGTGATGATTGCTTTGCTGAATTGTTGTCTAGATCCTTAATTCAACAATCAAATGATGGTGCTCGTGGCAAATTGTTTTACATGCATGACCTTATCAACGATTTAGCTACATCAGTATCTGGAAAAATTTGTTGTCGGTCTGAATTTGGTGACATCCATGAAAACATTCGTCATTTATCATATATTCAAGAAGAGTATGATATTTTCGTGAAGTTTAGGCCTTTCTACAATTATAAATGCTTGCGAAGCTTCCTGCCCATTACTTCTAAGGGGTGGTCACTCCATTTCTTATCCGTCAAGGTGGTTGATGATCTGCTACCACTATTCAAAAGGTTACGCGTGTTATCGCTATCAAAGTATACAAACATCACTAAGTTACCAGATTCAATTGGCAATTTAGTGCAGTTGCGGTATCTAGATCTTTCATACACTAAAATCAAATGTTTGCCTGATACAGTATGTAACCTTTACAATTTGCAAACCTTGATTTTATTATGTTGCTACAATCTCACTGAATTGCCAGTGCATATGGGAAATTTAATCAGTTTACGTCACCTTGATATAAGTGGAACTTACTTAAAAGAGTTGCCTATGGAAATTGGTGGACTAGAAAACCTCCAAACTTTGACTGTTTTTTTAGTGGGAAAGCGACATGAAGGGTTAAGTATCAAAGAGCTAGAGAAATTTCCAAACCTACAAGGAAAGTTTACCATAAAAAACCTACACAATGTTGTTGATGCAAAAGAGGCAGAAGAAGCCAACCTGAAAAACAAAGAGAAAATTGAGAAGTTAGAGTTGACATGGGGAAAACAAAGTGAAGATTCACTACAAGTGAAAGTTGTGCTTGAAATGTTGCAACCACCAATAAGCTTGAAGAAGCTAAAAATTAACTTGTACGGTGGGACAAGTTTTCCGAATTGGTTGGGAAATTCTTCGTTTTCTAACATGGTGTCCCTTGAAATTTGTAATTGTAAATATTGCATGACACTTCCATCGCTAGGCCAACTACCTTCTCTCAAGAAGCTGAGTATATCGAATTTGTTGTTATTGGAGACAATTGGCCCAGAGTTCTATTGTGTTGAGGAAGGAGAATGTTCCAATTCTACCTTCCAACCATTTCCTTCCCTTGAGTATATGGAATTTGACAGCATGCCAAATTGGAAGGATTGGATTTCCTTTGAAGGCATAAATTTAGCATTTCCAAAACTTAGAACTATGCAGTTAAGTAATTGTCCTGAACTAAGGGGAGATTTGCCTAGCCACCTTTCATGCATGGAAGAAATTGAAATAGGAGGTTGTTATAAGATATTGGAAACACCCCGTACTTTGAATTGGCTATCGACAATCAAAAGAGTAATAGTTAGAGAAGGTGCTCAACATGCAGCTGCAGAAAGTTACCCAATGTTTATATCTAAAATGATCACGAGTAGTATTTGTCTTACTCACTTTGAACTCTGTTGTATTCGGTCTCTCACTGCATTTCCCACAAATGGTCTACCTACTTCATTGCAGTCGCTTGTTATTTATGAGTGTAGGAAGTTATCCTTCATGCCTTTCGAAACATTTCAAAATTACACGTCACTCGTGAGTCTTGCTATCCGGCATAGCTGTGACTCACTTACATCATTTCCACTTGATGGTTTCCCCGCGCTCCAAACACTTTCCATTGATGATTGCAGGAGTATGAATTCCATTTATATTTCCGAAAGTCCTTCACGTCGGCAGTCAACCCTCCAATCACTTGCCATCAGATCAATTGAAACATTTAAAGTCAATCTTGGGTTGGACACGCTCACCAATCTTGAACATTTGTATTTTCGGTGTTCTGGAGAGTTGTCATTTTGTGAAGGAGTTTGTCTACCCTCCAAATTACAATCAATTGAGATTTCTTTTAAAGGAACAAATCTGCATGTAAAGGAATGGGGTCTCCAAGACCTAACCGCTCTTTCAAGATTGACAATTCAAAAATGGGGTGAAATGGAAAACACCTTGACGATGGAATCGTTGCTCCCCATCTCCCTTGTGTTTCTCAGTGTCAGTAATATGTCCTTTGGGCTTCGACACCTCTCGTCTCTCCAACATCTCCGATTCAACCATCTCAAGTCATTGCCAGAAAATTGCCTCCCTTCCTCGCTGAAATCACTTGAATTTAGTAACTGTCAACATCTCAAGTCATTGCCAGAAAATTGCCTCCCTTCCTCGCTGAATTCACTTGAACTTGAGTTTTGTGAACACTTAGAGTCATTACCGGAAGACAGCCTACCTGCCTCTCTTAAGAAACTGACCATCACAAAATGCCCATTGTTAGAAGAAAGGTATAAAAGGAAGGAAAATTGGTCCAAAATTGCTCACATTCCTTTCATACAAATAAATTACGCCTTCCTGTAGTTCCAGGTATGATTTTCTTTCATACTTGTTTATTTATGTTTTCCTTAAACTTTTATTCCAAGAATCACTTGACTTAATGTTGCTTTTAAACTCATGTTAAAAAACATGTTTCTTTTCTTTTTTAGGCTTAGGAAACTATTTTACTCTTTAATAATGGTTCCAGCTACGCTTTTAAGTAAAGAATGCACCGAATCAAATATTGTGCACATTTGTTGAGAAATATTTGAATCAATCTTTTATTGGTAAACTTGTTTAAGTTTATGTGTGGTGTTTACTTTGTTTGATGGAAAGAGTTATCTTTTACGAGGTATGGTTCAGCTCCAATAAATAACACATTATGTTTTACTACGAAATGTGTTTATTTGTGAACACAACCAGAATTAATACTATAGTGGGAATTTCACAAAAACGAGTCATTGGGGCAAATGAAAGGAAAATGCTTATTTGATCTTTATTATCTTAAACTCCTACTGTATCAACGCAGTTTATTGCCCGTTTGCTTTCTATTTCTGTATTGATTTACTGAAACTCCTACCAATTTTATTTTTGAATGATTCTGGGCAAACTATTAGAAAATTTCAATTTTATTAATTGAATTGTCGCTAACAATTTTGAAAAGGAAACTAATTTTTTGCCTTCTTTTCAGGAGAGACCTAAATAGATGAAAAACAAATCGTTGGATGATTTGAAGACAAAAAGGGTGCATCCTATTGTTGTGTTTTTTCTTGTAAACTTGTTTTAGAGGAATCAAATGGTTTCCTTTGAAAAGTTGTGTTTTTTCTTGTAAACTTGTTTTAGAGGAATCAAATGGTTTCCTTTGATTTTCGCAAGATTTGATTTACGTAGCTAATATTAAGTATGTATTTGATCATCATTTGATTGCATCTTTGTTGTATATTGTTGATAAGCTGTATGAGTCAGTCAGACAATACAATGCAGTAAATCTAGTGTTCAACTGCTTTGTTAGTATGTTAGTTTGAGACTTTTCTGTTGTACTTTTCAAGTCATATTAGATTACTTTTGTTTCCCTATTTATCTTGTGTTTATAAACTGGTGCATTGAAGATATTGTTCATACAAATATAATATTGTTTCAGTTGAGAGTGTATAAATTAGAAGCAATGAAATGTCTTTTACTTTTATTCATAGACAAATTAAAAGCCATTCAAGCTCAAAAGCTTCTATGTTGCATGTATATCTCACTTATGGCTCGGCTTTGGTAAGCTGTAATTCGTGTTACCTAAGGAAAATGTACAACATCGGCTGCAGGAACACTTGAATTCAAACTTCAGATGGAAACATCCACTGCTCTTGAAGTGTTGGATCTGCGTTCATCACTGGCACTGAAACACTATTTTGGAAGCAATGCCACTGTTCTTTCCATATTATTTGAGGTGATTATGATTTTGGAAGCAGTATAGTATTTTTAGTGTGAGAATTAATGAAAACTAGACTATGACTTGCCCGGGCAGGTTTAGTTTTTAAAAATATTTAAAATGAAATTTATAATATATGTATTGATTGTAAAATTTTAACATTATTAAAAGAATAAATAGAATAAAAAAAGTTAAATTTTTTTTAACTATTGTTCTATTTTTTTACATAATAATTAATGTTCTACTTATTTTAATCTCGAATAAATAAATACTTTGTATGCATTCTATTTTATTTTTTGTTTTACTTATACATGAATGATAATTTTTTAATATTAGTAGAGAAAGTGTCGGAGTAACGCCTTTTATAAAAAAGATGGTGAAAAATAGATTTAGTGAGTTTGACATGTAGAGAGAAGATTTGTAGACTCTATAGTAAGGAGAGTAAACAAATAATTCGAGAAAAACGAAGATCCAAAAAGACTATAAGAAAAATTGTTAAGAAAGATTTCGAAATCAATAATTTGGAAAGAATCATAGTCTTTAATAGAACATTATAGCGAAAGTTGATACATATATTGGACCCCACCTAGTGAAATGAGACTTAGTTGTTGTCGTAGTGTTCCATTGCGCATTTCTTTAAAACATATTCTATTTGTATCATATTTAAACAATGGTTGTCTTTTGTACGGGAACTAGAAATTGAATAAAGATCGATGATAATGGTGGACCTTCGCTTCTAATACAGTGGAGAGAGACTCACATATAAGATTAATATTCCAACGTTCAAGTCAATAGGTGAAAGGAAAGAATAAATTCAAATCGAATTTGAAATTGAGTAGAAGCATTAACACACTCTTTATATATAATAGAGAGGAAACAACAAACTGCTATTTGGTAGACATGAATTATGGATAACCCTCAGATGTATCTGGAGTTTGGATTTCCGTATGCTAAGAAAAAAGATTAATAAACTAGATTTTAATGATTTTTGTCTATTATAATCTATAAAAACAAAAATATCTAGAAATTCTACGCATACACTTTTAATTGAATGTTTAAACTTTTCTAATCCCAAAATTAAATGTGACTAATTACACATTTGCTTGACTCTCATTCATCTGACATTTAATAAAGCTTATGTCTCACTTTAATGGATTTTTAAAATAATTTAGAATTAATTTATACTAAAAGTTCTTTTTACAATGGGAAATGAAGTTGGGAAACTTGAGAAGCTTCACTCTCAAGAAGCATATGAGATGATCCAAAACCACTTGGCTCTAATTTTGGGTAACAGAGCTGGAGATTTATCATCTATTGCTCAAATCAGTAAACTCAGGGTAGGTCAGGTCTATGCAGCATCAGTCATGTACGGTTACTTTCTTAAGCGAGTTGACGAAAGGTTCCAACTCGAGAAGTCCATCAATGTTCTTCCAAATGTACCACAAGAGAGTGCTGATCATCAAACTATCATGGATGATGTAAGACCTGCTACTCAAGTGGGCACTTCTCATCCTGGAGGCGATGCCAGTCCTGGTGGATTTGGCTATGGTATAAAGCCCACCAGGTTGCGTAATTATGTCATGTCCTTTGACGGTGATACTCTCCAGAGATATGCGACAATAAGATCTAAGGAGGCTGTGGGCATCATTGAGAAGCACACAGAGGCATTGTTTGGAAGACCTGAAATGGTTATAACACCAGAGGGAACAGTTGATTATTCAAAGGATGAAAACATCAAAATTAGCTTCGTGGGTTTAAGGAGACTTGTTTTAGAAGCTGTGACTTTTGGTTGTTTTCTCTAGGATGTTGAGGGCTGCGTGGATTCGAGGTATCATTTTGTCTTTAATTGAGTTGTGCCTCCTCCCGAATGTCCGAAGGTAGTGTTTAGTGCGTCAGTACTCAGTACTGATCAATAGGATAAAAGTTAATGTAGCTTGCTGTTAAAGGTCCAACTGTTGTTAATTAATACATCTGTATATACTCATACTGATCGTGACTCTTGATTTAATTTAACCAATGAAGGGAAAGTTATTTTCTTCTTCAATCGTTGCTTATTTTCTTTATCCTTTTTTACCAGTAACAAATCTTTATGGTGGTCATGGTTAAACTAGTAAATCACTAGTGCATTTGCACAGATCCGTTGATTTGTAGTTTATACAAGATCGATAGTATTATTGGTCGGTGAATGTATCCCTACAAATCATACCATATTCGTACCCCTGCGTTACTTGTTTTTAGGCAAAACACCATTCCCTATATCCTTTTCCCTCATTCTACCTTCCCCTTATCCAACTAACTAATTTACCATTATTTATTATGGTTTCACGTTACTATGCAGATTGAGAATTGGATTCCTAAATTTGAAATGAAAATTATTTCACACTGCTCAGCCCATGATGAAAGGGAAACTCAATAGTCAGTCAAAATTGAGACGACACGCGCTTCACCCTTTGATGGGTGAAATGTTGAAACCCTATATCTTTTCATTTCATGCTATTCTCACATTTTACAATATCGTTAATGGAGGTTCACAACGTGATTATACGGTGAAAATTCCTGATGAGTGCTTGGCTGGGATATTCCAATTTCTGGACCAGGAGATTGGAAAAGCTGTTTTGTTGTGTCGCGTCGGTGGTTACGTGTCAAAGGAGAGAGTCGGCAGCGGCTTTCGCTAAACGCAGAGGCGAAACTATTGGATCTTGTTCCTTCATTGTTCGCTCGGTTCAATTCGGTGTCGAAGATGGCCTTACGGTGTAACCGGAAATCGATAAGTGTGAATGATGATGCGATAATTCTGATCTTGCTTCGTTGTAAAAATCTCACGCGCTTGAAGTTGCGAGGGGGTAAGGAGATTACCGAGATTGGGATGTTGGGGCTTGTGAAGAATCGTAAGAATTTGAAGAAGCTTTCAATTGTTTCGTGTTTGTTCGATGTTAAGGGTGTTCATGCTATTGTGTATAATAGTGATATTATTGAGGATCTTTCTGTGAAGAGGCTTAGAGGAGATAGCGATGAGGATGGTAAATCAGTTTATGGTAATGGTTATGGTTGTTCTTCATTGAAATCGATTTGTTAGAAGGAGCTTGGTAACAGGTAGAGTTTTATGCCGTTGATAATTAGTTCTAAGAAGCTTCAAACTCTGAAGCTGATTGGGTGTGTGGGAAATTTGGATTAAACCATTACGACTGTGGGGAAATTGAATATGCTGGCTGAGATTCATCTCGAGAAGGTTCGATTTTGTGTCCAATAAAGTCTATGCATTCAATTGTTCCAGCATGTTATCTTTGATTATATTTGAAGTGAGTGTTTCTTGGTGTCTATCAATTTTGTTAGCTTTGAATATGGCCTTGAAACGATTGAATATCTTTAGTGTTTTTTTATGTTACTGTAATTCATTATCATCTGTTTAGATGCATTCAAACGATTTTTCATTGATTCAATAATCTTTCAGCAATTCATTATCAACTTATTTATCAAACTGACTTTTAATGGATACACACTATGTGTTTGTTGAAATGTTGCAATGAATCTTATGTTGCGGCTTTATTCTTCATATGTTGCGGATTTTCAGATATTGTTTAGATGGTCTTGTGGTATACATTTTTGCAAAATACTCTCACCAGAGCTGCTTAATCCGTTGCATCTTAATTCTTTTTATGACATGTTTTTTGTTTTGTTTTGATGACAATGGAGAAACTGCACATTTGTCAAATCGGTAGTATCATATCTTAATAATCAAACATCTGAAACATCTAAAATTGTTGGATACTGATCTAACCCTTGATTGTAAAATACATAATATCACTGTTGAAGAAGTTGTTAAGACCGTTGTTGTTCCAGAATACGACGAATTCCACCAAGATCCTATTGTAGTGGTAGAAATGTTTAAGACTAAGTCATTGGATTGACTAGACTTTATACATATCAAAATAAAAATTGCCACCGCGCTTTGTTGTTTCCAAAGGAATGGGAAAAGAGCGAATAACCCAAAAAACACGGGGAAAGATTCAAGGTAAGGGGGTTAGTTATGCAAAATGAAGGTATTAACACCCTAAACATCTACGGTACTCCGCAGGAGCCTCTTTGTAAAATCTGTATATTTTGGCTATAAAACAATATTGTATAAAAATGGGTGGTGGAGGTGAGAAAAGAAATATATTTATTTTGTGATTTTTTTGCACCCGCCGCGGTTGCGAACCTTTAGTGCCTAAGTACCACCTTTTCGGGAAATAGGGATTCAGGGTACACGTAGTTCCTCTTTTAAAAATTTAAAACACAAATGTGTTGGTTATTTTTATGAGATAAAACATCATCGTCATTGTCCGTGTGGAAAACATACCTACTACCCATAATTATGAGAAAAGAGAATTTGCATCATCTCAAAGTGGAGGATATGGCTTGGATTTTAAAATCAACAATGCCTCACTCAACAGCCAAGTGGAAAACATCTCTCTTCACTACATATTGTATAAGTATATTTGTTTGCATCACTACAAGGATTGACAAGAGTTCAATCTTTTGAGAAAAGTTTAAAGATAAAATCCAAAGTGGCAAAATGGTTTGAAATGAGATTTGATTGACTTTTAGTCTTCTCACAAAAATGTCAAAGTATTATTAAGTTTATTGAATTTTATTTATGAAAATATTTTGAAAATGCATGGACATAAGTCCAAGTTTATTATGAAAGTGGTTCAAGTTTAAAACAAGAAGGGTTTTCAAAAGGAGGGAGATAATTTTTTTTGAAATTAAAGAAGATGGGAGGAGAAGAAGAGGCTATCTAAAGCATAAGGTAAAAGCTAGGGATAAGAATCATCTAACCAACAAGAAGCCAATACTTGACATTATGAGCCAAGATAGAATTCTCATTCCTTGGATTGAAACTAATCAAGCAAAAAAAATATACTATACCTCTTGAGAGAACCAAACTTCAAGTGTATTAAGTCTTCACAAAAATTGGGCAGAGTAACGGCTGTATACGGGTGAATTCCAGATTATAAACAAAGAGTGTAATCACTATAACATGCACACAAAACAAATAAACAACCCAATGTATTGAGGTAAACCTCAAGAATTCCAGATAAAATAATCAGATAAGATCACAAGGTCTTTAAGATAGGCCAAGGTTTCTAATCCTAAGTCCAAGAAAAGTTCCATGCTCCATAATGTCAAGGATAGTAACCAAATAGTCTGAGTACCATTAAAGATTTTTAGGGTTTATGTTGATTATTAAGTATCTTAAAAGGGAAAAGAAAAACTCAAGTGAGCAAAGTAAAAATGACAAGAAAGTAAATGCTCAAATGAGCAAAGATGAAAATGGCATGAAATGTAAATGTTAAAAGTAAATGGTACATAAAGCATAAAAATAAAAAATAAAATAAAAGTGTTCTGGACTGGGCCCGACAGGCCCAAAAGCATTACTAAGGCCCAGTCCAGAGGGACTCACTAAGGACCACACCGGGGCATAGGGGGTCGCGATCATGCCCGACACCCTAACGTCCTCCTCGACATCTCAACGTCCAGCCCCACGCAGTGAAGTCATGCTCGACACCCTGCCGCCCGACTCTATGTCTTGGCTTCCAGCTCGACACCTCGCTGTCCAGCTCGAGGTCTTGGCGTCGAGCTCGGCACCGTGCTGCGCAGCTCGACATGGTCTCGAGCTAACTTGCCAGGGCAGACTTAGTCCTCCATTACCCCAACGATACTCCGGAAAGACCGCGTCTCCGTCCGCCCGCACTTCACGCAGCACATCCAGGAAGGGGACCACGTGCTGGTCCCCACTACCCACGTAGAACCTGGCAGTTCCTCCATTGGGCCAAATCCGCCCGGCCCAGTGAAGGAACCTTGGCCCAGCGCTGGGGGCTATAAATACCCTCTGCCTCCAGAGGGTCAGGTATTGATCATTCTAACCTCAACTCTATTATCTGCTAGTACTCCCACTGACTTTAGCATCGGAGTGCCTTGCAGGTACCCCCCCTCCTCGTTCAAAAAGCCTTCAGCTCGGAGTAAGCCGTGACGGTCCAAACCTTCTGATCAGGTCAGATCAGTGGCGCCGTCTGTGGGAAACAGCTTCCCCGTCTAACGAACAGTTTCAAAGACCAAAGCTCAATCCATTCACTGTCATGGCCTCTCCAACTCGTGAAGAACAACACACTCGCGTCCTCGACGCCAACAACGGTCCCGCGGACAAGAATGGGCACCTGGACAATCCCAGTGGTGCCGGCCACAATACCGTCCCCGTGACAACCGCCCCTGGACCTTCCACCCGCAGGGACGGGAACACTGCGTCCTCCTCGACAACTCCTCCAGGACTCGAAGACGATCCGGAGGCTCTCGCCTATCGCCAGGCTGCCCGGTTCTATGAAGTCCAAGCCCCTGCCGGGGCAGATGCCACGGCTCAGGCACTGTTCGCGGCCATCAACCAGACGAACTATCTCCTGTTCGCACAAGGAGAAAGACTTAGGGCACTGGAAAATGATCGACGCCCCCCGAGGAGACATCAAAGGCCACCATCTCCACCTCCTCGGGTCGAAGAAGTTCGACACCCTACTCCCCCGCGGAGACATTACAGGGAAAACTCTAGGAGCCCCTCTCCCGCACCAAGGCAGAGGCGGCCCCAGTACGAAAGACAGCCCGTCATCCCCGCCGAAGAGCCCGTTCGCGACCCATCAAGGCACGACCGGAGACACAACAGAGACGGGCGTGTGACCTTCAGTCACCGAGCATCACGCTCAAGGGAATCCCAGCACGACCAGCGTGCCCGACACAACTACAGGACCCCTTCTCTTTCTCCAGAAAGGAGCGACGAGGACGACCCCCGCGGTCCCCTGTCGCAGGCCATCATGGACGCACC